ACCATTCACCTCTCAGTAATTCCTTTCAGACACAATTCAATTGATCAAACGCGACCAGTAAAGCTACACCCTCCTTGCCATCAATTTTAGAAAACTTACTATTTCCCTGTCCCCATTATTGTTGGCTCACTGTTCCCTTCCCCGCCCCTTTCCCATGTGCCCACCCCACTCCAGCAGCTGCACCCTCAGTCCTGTTGCTGCTTCTATGGGATAGCTTATCCTGCCTATATTGTATAGATAAACACACACACACACACACACACACACACACACACAGATAGAGAGGGAGAGAGAGAGAATACAAATAGCCCAAGTCTAACAGGGATCCTGACACAGAATAGATGAATATCTCTCTGTGAAATACCAAGAAGCACATGTTATAATCCATCAGTCCAGTCCCCTTTCTGTCTAGTTCCATATCCCAGGACCTGCTTAACTAACAACACACTCACCCTTTTAGTCTGCCACATTTGTGTCCCAAAGGTGCACATACTAAAAGTCCCCATTGTTATTCCTGCAGTCAGGGATGGAGTGGTCTAGTGCCAACCTCCCTTACACTTGAGATTTTCAGTGTAGCCTCCTGTGAGTAACCCCCAGCCAGTTCAGATGAGGTGCCAACTGCTGCTCCCTGAGTCAGAAGTCTACACGGGGGATTCCTTGGGACTTTGTGGCTTCATTCCAATCACTGGTCTGTTGCACTCCCCTCTTGGCTTGCACCGTCGTGGACTGGTCAGCCCTGCCACTCTCCCCTAATTGTATCTTCATAGCTGTCATCTAGGGAGGGAGAGGGCATCAGGTCTCCAACTGAGGCCATCATTATAGTCTTGCAGTCTGCAGTCATCTCTGGGAATGAGCTGCTCTGAACAAGTGTTTTTTATCTTTAGTATGTACCGCTCCTCTATTTTGTCTTCCTCTGGTTGTATATCCTGCCTTATTTCTGATAGCCCATATATTCCCTGTGCTAAGGTTCTTAGCTTTGTCCCAATTTTCTCATTGATGATCCTGATATTTTGAGTTTTACCTCGAGGTCTGTGATCCACCTTGAATTTGTTCTTGTGTATGATAAGTGCCTTGCTTCATTCTTCTGAAGATTGGCATCCAGTTTTTCCAGTTGTTGAAAGGGCATATATAAATTTCCTTAAAAAGGGCATTCCAGTTTCCTTAAAAAGGGCATCTGCTTCCAGTCTATCTTTATATTATAGACCAGGCCATTTTTTCTCTTTCTGACCCAGACTGTGTTTGGTCTTTAAGGAACATTTTATATTTGATCTTTTCCATTATGTGCTGATATAAAAAGTATCATTACAAAATAATATTTTTTACCTAGAATAGAGCAGTGACAGAAAGGACAACAGGCTTCCATCAGATAGATGCAGAGAACTCTGTGTAGAGCTGCTGGCTGGTGAAACAATATTGGAACAGGATAGACTTTTAAAAATGTGGGTGAATTAGAAGGCTAACGAGAATGGGAAAAATTATCGGTCCTAACTCTGCTAGAAACATAATATCCTTCCTAGAAAACAAGGTCAGTGTGTGAGTTGCATAGTGGCCAAATCTCTTGATCAGAAGAGTTGAAAGCATGCTGGGCTTCAAGATGGCAGTGGACACTTTGAGTGAATGTGGTTCCGCACAGCTTTGGCAATACTCCAATGTCATGTATCAGGTATCTGAAAGGGGACTGAATTTTAAAATTTTGATTCTGTTCCAGTTTTGCTTTTTTGGCATGACTGAAACAATTTGAACTGTTTTCAAGCCCTGGGGTAAAAGCAACACATCTGGCTTCCTGTTAACTACTCTCAGTTACTTCCTCCTTTTCTTACTCTCCTCACTCAGCCCCAGTCACATTGATCTTTTTATGACTTTTCAAATGCACTGGGTACCAATCCTCACCTAAAGCATTTCTCTGCATGGTTTCCTCATCTCCTTTAAGTCTTTTACCACATGTCACCTCAATGAGCTCAAATCTGATTCAATTCAGAACAGCATCCTCCCTCTCAAGATCATCCTCCTTTTTTTTTTTGCTCTAGCACTTATTCCCTTCCAATGGAATAAAGTAATGGTCATATTTGTTTATTGTCTCCCCTCCCCCCTTACCCTGTCTCCATTCTTGAGTGCTATGAAGGCCAAGTTCTTCATCTTTTGATTTACTGGTGTATCCCAAGTGTCTAAAACAGTCCCTGTATGTAATAGGTGCTCAGTGAATACTTGTTGAATTGAACTGAATTGAATTCCATGTACTATCAAGGCCCTTTCCCCCTTTTTCTCTAAGTTCTGTCATTGGGTATGCTGAATGACACGGTTTAAATCATCATTTAATGTGTTGACAATTTCTAAAGCTATATTCTCAGTTCAAACTCCTCCCTGATATACATTTATATGTTTTACTGCCCCCTGAGCCTCTCCAATTATAGGTCTTGCAAATGTCTTAAACATACATGTCTCAAAATGAAACTAAAGTTCTTTCTCTCAGACTCATGTATTCATTTATCTCTAATGAATGAATGAGGCGGCTGGCCTTTAGTTGTTCAAATTAGAACAAAGGAGCCATCCCTGCCTCTGTCTTCTCATTAGACTTCGCAGCCAACTTTTCACCTAGAACTCAATTTTATAGCCATGAAAACATTTAAAAAAAGCCACGAAATCATGCCCCCTCTGTAATTTAGACTCATCAAAGACTTTGTATCATACCTTTAGACCTTGAATCAATCGTTCCTGCCCTCCTCCCCCATTTTATTTTCCTGTAATATTCTCTAACACTTTACCACATATTATTTATTTATAAAATAATTTTATCAGGGGCTCATACAACTCTTATCACACTTTACCACATTTTATAGGGTCTCTTCTTGATTCAACCTTCACACATGTGGTTTCTTTCATTGAAAAACTCATCCACGTTATTTTGTTTATCTCCATTTCTCATCTCCTTACCCTGCAGGCTCCTACTCATGTTTTAGATGCCATTTTAGTGTCTATTTTTCAAGGAAGACTTTATGACGCCCCAGAATGACCTAAGTTTCTGTTATAGACGCCAATGTCCATTGCACTGATTCTGACTGATAGGGATTCTATAGGACAGTACTAGTTCCCGGTAGGATTTCCAAGGTTTTACGGGAAGACGTCACCACATCTTTCTCCCATGGAACACCAGGTGGGTTTGGACTGCTGATCTTTCAGCTCTTTGCACTATTCAGGACCTCTTTGGTCATCAATTTAATCCAGTACTTACAATCTGTTGCTATCCAGTTAATTCTAATTCAATTGTCCCATAGGGTTTTCTTGACTATAATCTTCAGGCAGTGGATTTCCAGGCCAACCAAAGCTACTGTCAGTGCCACTGGTTGGATTTGAGCCACCACCCTTCAGATTAGCAGTCTAGATGAACTATGTATTCCACCCAGGGACCTCTTAGCACACTAAAGGGACATCCTAATTTACAACGGAATGATTAGTATACCAAAGTGCACAGATAGACTTTTCTGCTGATTACTTTTTATAAATATCTTCTTATGCAACCAAATATGTTTTGAAAACATGATTTTCATTATCTGCACTGTATTCTATTTTATAGTAACCTACTTAATAAGTCCCAAATAGTTTGTTTTCATTTTAAAGAAAATCATAAATATTGTGATGAATATCTTTATGCATACATCCTCTTGTGTGCCTTTGATTTTTCCTTATTACTGATATTTAGAATTGTTTTATCAATGACATAACATTAAAAAGGTTTTTGATTATATATTATCATACACTCTGGATTAAAACATGACAACAGAGTATGGCAAGGCCTGTTTACTTTTTTCTTAAATGTTCATTTCATGAGAAGAGTAGCATTTTTTGATTAACTATATGTGTGTTTCTGTAACTTCAAGGGAGAGTGAGTTTGTTGCCCATTTGTATTTATTCTTTTGTAAATAAGAATTGTTTTTAAAACTGTTTTAAAAATGATGATGGTAGCATATGTATGAATATGCTTGATACAATTGATTCATGGATTTTTTATAAGAGCTGTAAAAGCCTGATGAGGGTAATGAATGTACAAATGTGCTTTATACAATTGATGTATATATGGATTGTGATAAGAGTTGTATAAGCCCTCAATAAAATGATTTAAAAAAAAGAGCTGTAAAAACCACCAAATAAAATGGTTTATTTTTTAAAAAGAATTGTTCTTTATAAGGTGTTAAGTTTATGTAGTTTTATGCTTTCACAGTGAAGGGTAGAGAAAAAAAAGTAGAAGCAAAAGGCATCTAATAGCTTAGGAGTGGGAGACATTGGGCCAATCTTGGCTTTTCCAGAAAGCCGTGGCTACCCTTGGTGGTTTTCCCCATATCTCGGAGTCCCTATCTTCTCAACTAGTGATTATATCATGAGAAAGATGAGGTTTTCTACTCTTGCGAAGAGTTACGGGCTTGAAAACCAACAGGGGCAGTTCTACTCTGTCCTATATGGTTGCTATGACTCAGACTTGATTTGATGGCAGTGAATTTTTTTTGAGTGATTGTAATGGATAAATCTTTCTGACGCAATGCATGATAGTTCCCAAGTGCTCCCCGGCAGAAAAGTATGTGAATTGGTCATCTCTCTTCCAGGCAGTGAGCTCCTGGGAGGCTGGGCATGCATTTTCCTCCAGAGCACCACTTACAGCCTCGCCTGTCACTTTGTTGCTCAGTCTGTTAAAAGCAAATTATTCTTTTAAAATTATTTAGTTATAAGTTATTCTTAACTACTTAAGAAGTAAATCATGTTCTAATTTCTTCTCCTGTTTCCATGTGTTCACGCAAATTCAAATTTTAATTCACCATGTAGTCGAAGGGCACTTATCACATCCACTTGAAAATATGTATGTTTTGTTTGATCTTTGAATTTCTCAACACCTTAGCTTTCTGGGATTGGAAGAGGGCCTCACTCAGTCATACAACCCCTGCCCATGCTGTCACTCTTGCCCTTTACCTATGAAGGTTGACCCAAATATGCTTTTCTTGTAGTGAGGAAGTATGGTTGACTGTCCAAAGGAAAGAAAACCTCCTAGGTTTCCGGACTTCATCCAGTTGATTGACATGGCCTCTGAGTCAGTTGGAGGAAAGGTGAGTGAGTTTCTATTAGCAAGAGCAAGTATTTAATGTAGTTATGCCAATGATCCAGCGAACCACTGCAGTGAACGTTATTAAAATGGCAAGAATTAGGCTGAAGCCCATTATCTCAAAAGACTTCCAAGGAATTTATTTTTTCTTAAATCGGTGACAATTCCCACAATATGCAGCCTTGCTTTACATTTTAAAAACTATTTTTAAAACTTTATCTCACTTTTGCACTTATAAAATCAACTCACTATCCTTCTGCATTCTTGTTATCGGTTCCCCCTTTCTACTCCACCCTTCCTCCACCCTCCCGGTATCGCCACTTTCACCACTGGTCCTGAAGGGATCATCCATCCTGGATTCCCTGTTTTTCCCATTCTTCTCTGTACCAGTGTACATCCTCTGGTCTAGCCAGATTTGTAAGATAGAATTGGGATCATGATAGTGGGGGATGTGGGGGAAGGAAGCATGTAGGAACTAGAGGGAAGTTGTATGTTTAATCGTTGCTATACTGCACCCTGACTGGCCCATCTCCTTCCTGCAACCCTTCCATAAGAGGATGTTTAGTTGCCTACAGATGGGCTTTGGGTCCCCAGTCTGCACTTCCCCTCATTCACAATGATATGATTTTTTGTTCTTTGATGCCTGATACCTAATCCCTTTGAAACCTTGTGATCACACAGGCTGATATGCTTCTTCCGTGTGGGCTTTGCTGCTTCTGAGCTAGATGGTCACTTGTTTACCTTTAAGCTTTTAAGACCCCAGATGCTATATCTTTTGATAGCCTGGCACCATCAGCTTTCTTCACCACATTTGCTTATGCACCCATTTGTCTTCAGCAATCGTATTAGTTTTCTGTCTTTGGAAAAGTTAATTTCCTGAGCATCAATATTCCCCTTACAAAAATGAAGACAATATTCTCATTACAAAAATGAAGATGTGAGCACAAAAAAATAAAATCATTGTGTGCTCACATCTTCATATTTTGTAATGAGAATATTGTGTTTATTTTTGTAAGGAGAATATTGAAGCTCAGGAAATTAACTTTTCCAAAGGCAGGAAACTAACACATGATTTTCTTATAGTTACAATCTGTTAAGAACTCTAAAATTTGACACTATAGCATGCTAGATTAAGTAAGTGCAAGTGTAGAGTTGTGTAGTTTAGTTTGTTATGATGTTGCTTGCTTCAGCATCATATACATTTTACTTATATTGGTTGATGGCAATAATACATACATTTAAAACCAGCTTTCTTTAAATGTATCTGCACAAAGTCTTATGTGTTAATGTGACCAGTTGCCATCAAGCCAATTCCCACTCGTGGCAACTGTATGTGAGCAGAGGAGAGTTTCCAAGGCTGTGACCTGTCAGAAGCAGATTGCCAGACCTATCTTCTAAGGTACCTGGCTTGGCTTGAATTTGTAAAGTTTTGGCTAACAGTCATGTGCTTAACTGTTTGCACCACTAAGACTATTAGATTATCCTTTTTAAAAGCCTCTGCATTAACGTAGTTTCTAACTGCTTGCCTACAGTTTCTTTCCTGTCTCCTATCTTGGTCCCGAATGTACACAAATAGTCCCCAGGGTACAAAAAAGACTCACTCCTAACTGTGCCTTTAAGAATTTGTTGGTAAGTCAAACAAGTGCATATGGTTCTTATTTAGCTTTAAATGTACAATGCAAGAAAAACACTTGACGCATTTTCAGTGATTTTAAAAGCTGCACCATGCAAGGGGAGGTGACTGTGATTGGGAATTTGTTTTGAGTAGCGACCAGTTCCATCATTTCAAAGTAAAAGCAAATTTCTGCAACATTAAAGGGCAAAGATGAGTTGTCTGGACTTTGTAAACCAAGCATTTTGTAAACACACACACACACACACACACACACACACACACACACACACACACACACACACACACACACAGTATACACAGCCTGGGGGTCACATCTGACCTCCTTTGGGTACCCAAAGGAGAAGGAGTATACAATCTCAGTTGACAATTATCTTTTTTCTTCTTGGAATACAATGAATAGTCCTTCTTTACTCTCAAAATATTTTGCTTTCTCTATCAATTACCCCATCAGCCTACTACTGGGCCTCTTTAGCTACTTTGGGAGGGAGAACACTGAGGCAGCCAAGTTACAGGGATGACCCAGTGTGGATTTCTGCTATTGCTATAGGGTGTCAAGGGAAAGGAGCCCGGTGACATCATGGGCACCCACCAGCTGCTCCATGGGGAAAAGGGGAGTATTTTTGCTCTCCTAAAGATTTTAAAACCCATTAGTATAGTTCCGCTCTGTCCTATAGGGTCACTGAGTTGAATTTGATTTGATGACAGTGAGATGTGGAGCAACAGTTAGGCTGCTAACCTCAGAAGTCAGCAGTTCAAACACACCCAGAGGCTATTCCGGAGAAAACCCTGGTGGTCTCTGTAAAGATTATGAAACCTTATGAGTCAGTTCTACTCTGTCACTTCATGTCACTCTGAGTCAGAGTTGATATGACAGCACACAGCATCACATGAAGGAAATTGTCACAAGGTCTAATGTTTTCTGTTTTGAAAAAAAAAAAAGTTGGTTTATTTGCTTCCCAAATGTAAGATGTTAGTTAGCACTCTTGTAGCCAGATGGTAAGAGAGATTAAGGAAAAAAGTATGGGAAGAAAAAATGAAGGGGGAGGCGAGTAATGAAATCTAACCATTTAGAAAGCACTGTGACTTAATTGCACATTGTTTCTCTTTCCCTAGGCAATTTCCCGTTTTCCTTTTACTGCATTTCATAATGTTTCCCTAGGGAATAAAATAAAATGGTTTTAAATTTATGTTTATTTTATCTTCTTTGTTTCTCTAGATTTTATTTGCGACAGATGACTTTTTTGCTCCTGCAGAAAACCTTTTAAAGGTATTGTAAATTGACATTCTGCTATTCAAACTATTAGCGTCGAAGTGATCTATGCAGCCATTTTAATTAAAATACATGGGAATATTTGAGATGGGAATGAGGCTGTGTGTAGCAGTGAATTAGCAAACCAGAGCATTAGAAACATGTACAGATCAGCATCAACACATGCCTGACAGAAGAATTTGTGACCACGTTACTGGGACGACACCGAGATCTTCATAAAGTTTCAGTAGTCTAATGTGGATTTTTGTTGAGAATAAAACTGATATCCATCTTGAACATTTTTACAAATGTTTTACTCCTTTACTTACAAAAAAAGTATACATTTATTGAAAGTTACTAAAAAAACCTGGAAAGGAAATTGAAACTCTTCGGGAATACCACTGCCTTGTCACAAAGAGTGTTGGCGTTAAGAATTGTTGTGAGGGCTGAGGTCACAGGACACATATTCAAATTCCCCTCGCAGTGAAGGAAATTACAGCTAAGTGTCCTTTATAACCACTTTCCAAGATCTGTCACATGGCATATCATCTTCAACTGTGATTGGGGTGTTAACCTGATCACGTGGGCAGAATGGCTACTCTGTGTGGAAGAACCAGACCATGTCCTCATACGACAGTGTGCCCATACATGTATTATGCATTAGGGAAAACAAAATAAACCGAGGAACAGAGACATTAAATAACTCGTTCTGGATCACACAGGTAACAAATGACAAGCCTTTGTCACCTTTGACAATTTTAAATGCCCATCCCATTGACCGAGCTTTCCCATAGACAAACTATCTGCAAAAGTAGGCAGAGCTATACAGAAAATATTCATTCTGATATTGCTTAAAGGGAAAAACAACCAAATGAGAACCAAAACACAACTAATTTATACGTCCACTAAGAAGGGACTAGTTGAAAAAATTAGGAGCCTTCTAGATTATAAACCTTTACATAATTATTAAAAAGGATATAATTCTGCATGCACTGTCATAAATGATGCCTGTGACTTAATACTGCATGTGCATAAAATAAAATTTAATAGGATGCACAGCAAACCGTGAAGAGGTAGGTTTGGGAAAGGGGTGGGAGAGAATAAAGGACAGGATTATTTTGCACTTGGGTATACCTTATATGAGGATATTAGGGCTGTGGGTTTAGCCTTTGGGTGCTAACTGAAAGGTTGGCAGTTAGAATCCACTGGCCGCTCTGCAGGAGAAAGCTGTGGCGCTCTGCTTCCGTGAAGATTGCTTCCCTTGGGAACCCCTGGAGGTAGTTGTGCTCTGGCCCACAGGAATGCTGTAAATGGGAATGAACTTGAAGGCACAGGTTTCAATTTCACATATCACATTAAGTCGTATTTGATATTACATTACATTATTTGTTGTTTGTAGCAGCCATGTTGAATCTAACCAGCGGCAACTCCATATGTGCATAGCAGAGCGGTTGCCTAGAATTTTCAAGACAGTGACTCTATAAAAGCAGGTCATCAAGTCTGTGTTTCGAGGCCCCACTAACACTCACTGCCATCGAGTTGATTCTGACTCATAGCGACCCTAGAGGACAGGGTAGAACTGCCCCTGTGGGCTTCTGACTCTGTAACTCTTTACGGGAGTAGAAGGCTGGTTTTTCTCCAGCGCAGAGCTGCTGGTTTGAACTGCAGATGACAGCCCAATGCTAACCAATATGCGACCGGGGCACCTTGAGGCTCCTCAGGCTGGGTATGAACTGCCAACCTTTTTGTTAGTAGTTGAGTTCTTAACCTCTTAGGCCACTCAGGACTCTGATATTATATGTAAACTTTTATATAATGTATAGAAACATGGGTTGAACACTTAAAATTGACAAATAATATTGATATTTTTACCATCTTGGGAAAATTCTGATAAATCAGGAGAGAATAGATCTATTATTTGTACACACTTGGGCATATAGTTCTTCCATACAGTCTCTACTCACTCATATGCATTTATAGATATTCATCTTAAATATATCACACAAATACTGTTTACGTGTCTTTTTGAAAAAGGAACAATATTACAGATGAATCTAAAACTCCTCTACCGCCAACTTTAGTGCCAAATCACATTTCTACATAGGGTTATGAAGATTGCAGGATTGGGTTTTATTTCATTATATTGTTAAATAATTGTATGCATATCCAGGGAAATATGTAGAAAGAAGAGTAATGTTTTGTATTTTGAATTTACATTCATCATAGCATGAAGTACTTAACACTGTGCAAACGCAATGCTCCCACTCAATCGTTTGAGCCTCATACATAATCTAGGTGCTTCCCTTACAAGGGGGAGGGAAACTTTTTTTCTGCCGAGGGCCATTTAGATATTTACTTGTGGGCCATAATTGTCGAACACTGAATTAACTCATCCCTTAATGCGAGGCTGGAACTTCTTCTCTTTGGTGAGGTGGGTGATTTTAGCTGGTACTGATGATTTTGAGAGCTGTATGTGGTCCAAAGTCTGGACATTCCCTACCCCTACAAAGTGCAGAGTAAAAATGAACCATTGGTATGTGCCAGACGGGACTCCCTCTTGTACCTTTTGATGTGTGTTCAGGTTGGCTGCCTTTTAAAAGTGGTGCAAACATTGTTGCAGTACACATCCTGGTGAAGGGGGCCGGGCATAGGTGTGGGTAACCCCCTGGGATTGGCCTTCAGCTTTCTTTATTTTGATAAAGAACATATGTGTCATCATATGGAAGGTACCATATTTGTGACAGTGTCATTTTCCTCTGTCTCTAGTAAATTAGTGTTTTCCATCAACTTCCTTCCTGCCCTTTGCTTCAATCACAACAGGAGCAGTAACAAGGTCAACATCCCTAAAATTACAGGACCCACCTCTCTGTCCACCAAAGCTGAGCTAAATATCACAGTTTGGAACACTGTAGACTTAGTTTTTAAAAAAATTTTTTTAAAATTTATTTTAATAGTTTTATTAGGGGCTCATACAATACTTATCACGACCCATACATACATCAATTGTGTAGAGCATACTTGTACATTCATTGCCCTCATCATTCTCAAAATATTTGCTCTCCACTTAAGCCTCTGGCATCAGATCCTCTTTTTTCCCCCTCTCTCCCCGTTCCCCACTCCCTCATGAGCCCTTGATAATTTATAAATTATTATTTTGTCATATCTTGCCCTGTCGGATGTCTCCCTTCACCCACTTTTCTGTTGTCCATTTTTAATGGGAGTTTACCTCTTTCCAAGTAGCCCTGGTGGCATAGTGCATGTTGGGCTGCAAATTACAAGGTCAGCAGTTTGAACTCACCAACTGCTACCTGGAAAAGATGAGCCTTTCTGCTCTCGTAAAGATTTACAGCCTCAAAACCCCAACGGGTCTGTTCTACTCTGCCCTCTAAGGTTACTATGAGTCAGAATGAACTCCATGGCAGTCAGTTAGGATTTTCTACTGCTGAATTTAGAACAGGGCTTCCCAAAGAGGGAGAGACTGCCCCTCTGGGGGTGCTGCAATGACCTAGAGAGGCTGCAAAAGCAGGCACCCACACTCTATTCTGGATTATGGACTAGAGAACAAAATTGTCAATTGCCAGGGGAGTGCTGAGGAATTCTTTAGGGAGAACCGATTACAGGGATCTACATATACCCCCCTCCCTGGGGACGGACAGCAGAAAAGTGGGTAAAGGGAGATGTAGGACAGTGTAGGACATGACAAAATAATAATAATTTATAAATTATCAAGGGTTAATGAGGGAGGGGAGGGAGGGCGAAAATGAGCAGCTGATACCAAGGGCTCAAGGAGAAGGCCAATGTTTTGAGAATGATGATGGCAACAAATGTACAAATGTGCTTGACATAATGAATGTATGTATGGATTATGATAAGAGTTGTACGAGCCCCCAATAAAATGATTTCAAAAAAGGGGAGGTGTGGTAGCCCAAATAAGTTCGGGATCTGTGGTTTAGAACATAGATTGTTACTTTAACTACAGATACACTGGAATTACGTTAATCTTTAAGATGAAATTTGATTTTTTAAAGTTCATTTTATTGGGGGCTCTTACAGCTCTTATAACAATCCATACATCAATAGTATCAAGCATATTTGTACACATGTTGCCATATTATTTTCTGAACATTTACTTTCTATTTGGGCCCTTGGTATCAGCTCCAGTTTTCTCCTTCCTCCCCCACCCTCCCACTCTTGTGATCCCTTGATAAACTATAAATTATTTTCATATCTTACCCCAACTATGTGCCAGGTACTCGATAAGCATCTTCATGCTCACAATGGGCTTTGGAAGTGGCTAGATAGAGCACTTAACAGATGGGGAAACTGAGGCACACTTGCTCTAGGCCACTTGCCTGGAGGAGGCTGGACTGAGTTGCTCTGCACATGCAGGCAGCCTGGTCCCAGAGTTCATGTACAGAGCTACTGCTCATTCTGGGTCCTTGGTCAGTCTTGTCTTGGACAGGACTTCCTCGTGGTTTTAGTTGCTTCTATCAGGATTCACTCTGTATGTTTATGCTCTGTTTATGCTCATAAACATGTAGCATTTTTTCCCACTGAAGATGATACAAAAGACTTTTCCTAAGCAATAACTTAGATTTTTCTTACATTTATCCTTGTTTGAAAAGAGAAAATATCTCTCATCCTTCCTTACCCACCAAACACCAAGCACAAAGCAATTTGAACATCACATTATTTTTGTATTTTCATGTATGTGCATATGACTTCAACTTCATAGCAAATCCTTCAAGGTATGGCTCCATCATCCCCATTTCTACACACAAGAAATAGAGACTCAGTTATTTGTTTAAAGGTACTCAGCTGCACGCGGCTAGGCTGACCTTCATACCCAGTTTCATACCATACAGTTACATGAGGGTCCATGCTTCCCTCCCTGTGGATTTTGATGGCATGGAGTCCTGAGTTTTAAGTGTTTAGCTTAATCCTGAGCATCAGGCTTACTCTGAAAACAACTCCAGCTGAAATAATTGTTAAGTAGCCCTTTTCTGAGTTGTGTTGGAAGTTTAATAAACAGCTCTTCCTTTGCTCCAATGATCCTTTAGTATTAACCTAGATTGTAGTTGGTGGTTGCATGGCTCCACTTGTGAGGCTCATGGAATGAATGGCAATGTTGTTTTACGTGTTGCTACATCAGGGATTACCTATAAATCTGTATGTTGATGCTCATAAGGAAGTAGAATTTCTTTCTGATATAGATTGGGTAACTATGCCTGAAGGTAGAGCAGAGACTCTTCTGGCTGCTAAGAATCCCTCTAGAATCCCTATTTGTATTATTCATCTGTCCCTTTGGGACAAGAATTAATATATGGGAAGTACAGGCTACCACATGAATGCTAACTATCAAACTGTTATACATCTTTGCTTTAGAGTGATGCCCCACATTTTAAAGAACATGAATATACTGAATTTGGAAAATGGATGGATGGATGGGAAACTAGATGGAGAAGGATTCCAGGTAAGTTGATAGTAACTCTGTTCCATAATGGCAAGCTTAAAAATAGGGTCTAAATGGATGTATGCATTGTTATAAGAGCTGTAAGAGCCTCCAATAAAATGATTTTATTAAAATGAAAAATATGGGGTCTATTGGAAAGCTAGTGTATGTTTTAAGAAACCCATATCCCATGCAAGGAGCTCTGAGGGCCTAGTGGGTTATGTATTGAGTTGTTAGCTGCAAGATCAGTGGTTCAAACCCACCAGCTGCTCCTCATGAAAAAAATGGGGCTATCTTAAAGCTGTCTGTTCCTTTAAAGATTTAAAGACTCAGAAACCCCAAAGGGCAGTTCCACTCTGCCCTATACGGTCACTATGATCAGAATTGGCAGTGGGTTTATCTCCCTTGGCTGTCCATTTTTATAAATCTGTGGAATGCTCTGTAATGTTGGATGTTCCTACCTGAGTTAGTCTGGGTAAACTAGGGAAACAAATCCACAGAAACTCATATGTATAAGGGTAAGTGTACATTAAGAAAGCATCCCAACCCAGTGCTGCTCATGCCCATAAATCCAACATTAGCCCATGTGTCCAACACCAATCTACAAAGTCCTCCTCAATCTCACAAAACACATGCAATGACGCCGACTGCAGGAGGAAAGCTGAGTCAGTGAATGTGTAAACATCTCAGTGCTAGCAGGGTCTCCACACAGGTGTTCCAGCACCCAGGGCTGAATCGGGGTAGGTCCATGTGGCTTCTCCTCAGGCATGTCTTGCAGGAAGTGAGCCTTGCCAGCAGAAGCAGGGAACTGGCTAGGGCAGCTGCACCCTGGTCCAACCATCACAAAGCAAGAGACCCGAGAACTAGAAAGACCAGGCTCACCAAGCCATTTATGCCTCCGCCCTTCAATTAACCCCACATGTGTTTATCAGTCAGGTTGGCACAATAACTATCTCACTACCAGAGAACCATTGTCTGAGAAGTCAGAAATAGGTACCACCAGTCAAGAGAGGGTGGAAACATAGAGTTAGGAAAAAGAGAATATTTGGTGCAGGTTATAGCTGGAGAAATAGAGCAAATATTTATGGAGAAATATAGCAAACATTAAACGATAAGTTGATTCTCAGTACAATTCCCCTAAGTAGGTGCTCTTATTTCTCTTTAAGAGTGAAGGAAACAATTTCATTAACTTAGCCTAGATCCTGTAACCAGTGAGATAAGACGAGAATTGCACCAAGGTCTGCCCTATGCCCTTGCACACATGATATCTTATGCCATCTTAAGACACTATTTTTATTCATCATTACTCAATCAAAATACACTTTCAAAAGTAGAATCAATGCCTATAAAACAGAAACAATCCAGGTATTGAGAGCTGGACTTTTTTTTTGCTCCTGCCTCAAGCTCTTTGCGGCTTCTCGTTTCCTTTATTCCTATTATACTAGAGCCATCACTCAATTTTATTAAACCTATCATTTCACAGTTGCCTTGTCCATGGCAGCAAGGAACCAAGAATTGCGTAGTGGCATACTGAGTTCAAGAGTTCTTACACTTTGCCATACGCACGGGAAGGCATTGTTGGCAGGAGGGCAGAAGGGAACAAGCCCGAGATGACAGGAAGCATGAGGCATCCAGAACCACCACTGTCAAACACCTCCTACACGGCATCTGGTGTTTTACGAACCTCCCCTAGTCCCTTTGAAGCCAATCCATATTGACAAAGGTAGAAAAAAAGACACAGAAAATTCAAACAGGTTTTCAAGGACGTGTCTCAAGATAGGGAGTCAGACTCAAGTTTTTCTGAATCCAATGCGCCTTTGGACTGACTGGTGATGAGGATTCCCACGGAGGAATGGGGCTGCTCAGGTGCTGAGCGACCGGAAAATAACGTTAGTTGAGAATTAAGCTGTATACATTTTTCTGTGATGGAAAAGGTACTCCTTTATTGCATGTCAGTTTCCTTAATGTTGGGCCACGTCTTTTACTCAGTGCACAGACTCTAAAAAGGGTTCTTGTGGTTTTTATGCTGCACAGGTCATGACTGGTGTATAATCAAATTGGGAATACAAGGAATTATCCGAGGTTTTGACGTGGACATTTCTTACTTTGAGGGAAATTATGCTCCCCGAATGTCAATCCAAGCAGCAAATTATCCAGAAGGTACTTTTGGAACTACTGACTTTCCTCCAAGAATAATTGTAAGACTCATCTGAAGGAGTTCTGGTGGCACAGTGGATTAAGCAGTGTGCTGGCTGCATGGTTGACAGTTCGAACCCACCCACTACTCCACTGCAGAAAGAGGAAGACTGTCCCTGCCAGTAAAGATGTATGGAGCAGCAGTTCTGCTTTGTTCTGTAGGATCACTATGGATTGGAATCCCTTGATAGCAGTGGGCTTATTTATTTATTTTAAAATTAATCAAAGGAGTGGTACAGTGTTTGCAGTACTCAGCTGCAAATTGAAAGATTAATGGTTCCAGCCCACCAGCCACTTCACAGGAGTAACCTTGGAAATGTTATGGGGGCAGCTCTACTCTGTCCTACAGGGTCACCATGAGTTGGAATAGATTATCTGACAGTGGTTTGGTTTGGGTTTGGTGTTGTAGTCATTACATCTTGGGCTGCGATCACATGGTTGGCAGTTCAAAACCAACAGCAGCTCCATAGGAGAAAGAATGGGCTTTCTACTCCCATGAACAGTTACAGTCTCGGTAACCCCCAGGGGGGTTGCAACGAGTTAGCATTGACTCATGGGCAGCGAGTTTGGTTTTCTGCTTTTTTCCTTCAGATCAGATGCCGACAAGTCCAGCTACTTATCCAAGACCACTTCACTGTGACTAAACTTGCGAATTCATATCTTTGGATTTCCAATAAGCATGTTCTTTGTTTTTTAATTCCTGTCTATGTTCTTTGGTCCAGTACAAATCTCATCAGTCCTAAATACCTCAAACCTACCCAAAAGCACAACCTCATGTAACTTTAAGGTTTGCTAAGCAGGTAGCAGGGAATGGACTTTGTCCTAAAATAATTGGCATGATCTGGAGGCAGCTATGGGCTGGCCAGCTAGAGGACTATCTCCACCAGCTCCTTTGCCCTCACTCTCCAGTGTGCACAGCAGCTAGAATGCTTTTAAAAGAGGTTCCTTTCTATATATTGGAATCTGGATCTTATGAATCCTGCAGGGTCTATAAACTAGACTTATGATTTTATTCCTTTAACTGTCACCATCTGATACTTTCTATTTCTGGAAAGAGTGACAGTTTCCGAAATGCACACAGTTCTGTCCTGTCCCACAGGGTGGCTATGAATCAGCACTGACTCTATGGCAGTGAGTTTGGTGGGGTTTTTTGGGATGTTGGCCTTAGAATTAATTTTCTTCCACAAATGCACAAATATGTATGTGTGTATACATATAGGAGCCCTGGTGACATAGTGGGCTGCACATTGGGCTACTAGCATCTAGGTTAGCAGTTTGAATCTATTGGTTGCTCCAAAGGGGAAAAAGTTGGCATTTTACTCCTGTAAATAATTACAGTCTTGGACACCTACAGGGCACCTACAGGGCAGTTCTACGATGTCCTGTAGGGTGACTACAAGTCAGAATTGACTAATAGCAGTGAGTATACACATCTATTAAGGGAGGATAAATCATGTCACCTGGCAAATTTATACTGAGAGCTCTGTATGCACAGACCTGTGTCAGCCTCTGGGGAAATGAAATGGATGGGTCTTTCTCCCCAAAGATAGCTCTGATACCCTCAAAGTTAAATGACTATATTAGAGATTCAATCAGAAACGATTAATGGGAAATGAGCGCCAAATGGTTAACATTCTTTTGGCAAGCCCATCAATCACCCATGAGTGCTTCTATTTCTGAATTGCGAAGGCAAAAAATCTAAGGTCTCTTGGGGAAGCAGAGTTTCTGGAACTGAAATATTCTTAAATGAACTTGATTGATCCAAAATTTAAAAACTCTAGTTATGTGATGAATTTGTTGAAGCCTTCATCTAACTTAGATATTTCTTATTTTGATAAGCAAATGTATTATCAAATATGTTGCACAAATTTTAAAATTGCTCTTAGTAATTTAAATGCTGAGGAACTTCAACACATATTTCTATTACTCTGATTATCTGGTACTTTGTATTATTAATTAATGCTTATACTGATATTTGACAAAATGATAATGACCTTACCACCCATTTAGTATATTGTCTTTGATTTGATCTTGATAATCTGTCACTCTACAACTTTAGATAAACTACCAGAATTACCAGAAAGAGGACTCAGATTAGGAACTGCAGCCACAGCTGAGGAATTTGAAGCTATTTCTGAGGTATGCCTCCAAAGATGTAACTGATTTTTTAAAAATCATTTTACTGGGGGCTCACACAATTCTTATCACAATCCATCCATCCATCCATTGTGTCAAGCACATTTGTACATTTGTTGCCATCATCATTCTCAAAACATATTCTTTCTACTTGAGTCCCTGGCATTAGTTCCTCATTTTCTTCCTCCCTCCCCCCTCCCCCCTCCCTCATGAACCCTTAATAATTTATGAATTATTATTTTGTCATGTCTTACATTGTCTGATGATTGTTTTATGTGATTACTGAAACAACAACAAAACATTACTTGGCACACCAGGCTGTGAATAGAAAAACTTTGAGATAAGGAATCCTACCATGTCTTAGCTCATTCGCTCATGCACTTATTACCCTGAATGTGTTTCAGTCATAGTTTATGGGACTCTTGTCTGAGGGAACTTCAAAGTTCCCAAAAGAGCAGAGTTATCTTTCTCGAAGTGTAGAGAACTCACTGGTGTCCATCAGGAAGCTGTTACTGGTCCCTGATGAGATAAACAGAAATTGACAGTCAGTGTTTAAATACTTTTGATAATAATCACAAAGTACCTAATGGATTTAATAATAGACAGTTTGGGCTAATTTTTGTACATTTAAAAAAGTTTATTAATTTTTATTGTATTCATAAAACCTTTGATCTGTGAAAGAGTCCTAGAGGCATAGTGGGTTACGTGTTGGGCTGCTAACATCATAGTTGGTGAGTCAAACACACCAGCTACACTGTGGAAGAAAGACAAGACTGTCTGCTCCCCTAAGATTTACATGTTTAGGAACTCAAAACAGAGTCTTTGAGTCAGAATCAACTCAATGGCAGGGAGTTTGGGCTTATTAAACATCAACAGAGTCCTGCTAGTGTAGAGGTTAAAATGTTGAGCTGCTGACACCCCAGCGTTGATGTTTGGGACACCCCAGCGTTCCTCGGGGAAAGATGAGGCTGTCTGCTTCTTCTGCTTCTGCGATGGCTGCAACCTTAGAAACCCTCCTCTGCTTTGTAGATTAGCTTGGAGATCAAGCCTCTGATAAGAGATCATTATTTTTTAGTCATGTAGACTACTACATTTTTATTTCACGATAACAATCAATGCTTATGTTGTACACAAGCACTAGGATGAGAGGATTTACCATTCCTCCGATCCATTGCTAACATTCTGATATTGTTTCTAGCTAAAGTCGGAAAACTGGAATTACTTGGTTCCCTTGGCAGAGCTTCAACCAGGAAAACGAGGTTCTAGCCACAATTATTTTCCTGCCAATGTCAACCAAAGATGGACTCACATACGGCTCAACATTTTCCCAGGTAAGTGTGACGCTCACTCATTTCCATTTCTACGACTTTTTTTTAATATCAGCATATTAAAAAAGTTGAAATCACTCTTTCTTTGACCTAATCTTGTTAGCCTTCTAGGATTATAATTTTCCCCTCTTGTGCTTTAAAAAATACTTGCTTTAATCCATGTTTAAGTAAATAGGAGCCCCAGTGGTGTAGTGTTTGTGCATTGGGCTACTAACTACAAGGTCAATAGTTCAAAACCACCAGCCATTTCACTGTAAAAGGACAGGACTTTCTGTTACTGAAAAGAGTTATAGTGTCTGAAGCCTACCCATCCTATAGGGTTGCTATGAGTCAGCATTGACTCCATGGGAGTGAGTGAGTTTTTTTGAGTAAGTAGTTACTAAAAAACTATAGCGTAAGAATTTGGATGAGGAATCCTGTTGGCACATAGGATCAAATATTGAATTGCTAACTTAAAGGTGGAAAATTGGAATCCACCATATCCTCTTCAGGAGAAAGATGATTCAGTTTGATTCTGTAAAGATTTGCAGCCTCAGACTCTATGGACCAGTAACTTCTACTTTGTCTTATAGAGTTAATATTAGTAGGAGTTACCTCAATGAGCGTGGCCTCTTTTTTTTAAATTAAAATATGACACAACTAGGCTGTATTAGTTTAGGTATCTCCAAAAAATTTCAGTTTCACTGGTTTATTTTACCAGTAGTTTATGTAGTGTGTATAAATGTTCCCCCATTCCCCCATTTTATTCAAAATTTTTGATAACAACTTTATTGTGATATAATACACATGACACATGCAATTAAAACACTTGAGGAGTATAATTCAATGATTCATAGTTTAGTCACAGATCTCTGTAAACATCATCACAGTTAGCCTTAAAGAAAAATTATGATCTCAGAAACAAGTTCCAGAGGAGAAATCCAAGCAAATACTGTTTCCCACAAGTAGAGTCCACCTTAATGACATGCGCAGAGTAAGGCTTTCAGGATCTTCATTTGCTGATGGGGGATAACTGAAAATGAGAGGAAACAGCTACAAACATCAATTGATAATTAGGATGTGGGATGTATGAAGTATGAATCTAGGAAATTAAAATATTGTCAAAAGTGAAATGGCATACCAAAGATCAACATTGTAGGAATTAGTGAGCCGAAATGAACTGGTATTTTGAATCAGATAGTCCAATACTTTACAATTCTGGGAATGACAAATTCAAGAGGAATGATGTTGCACTCATCAACAAAGAGAATATTTCAAGATTTCTCTTTATTAATCTGGTAGGCAAGGTTCAGCCACTGTTCATGAATATTATTGAATGTTTTGCCTTATCACCAATTCCATTTTTTGTGTAATGTTCAATAATTCATGTTTGATTCATGTTTGTTTCATAGATGACCTATACTTGTATAATTTCCTTTTCTTAACTAGGTTTTAAATTCTACACCATTGGCTAAATCAATAATACTATCACGAGAATTAGCTTATGCTCTAGGGAGATAACTGATAATGTTCTCTAACAAAAAATTACAATGACATTTCTAAGGTGAACCAGAGACATGTATACACCATAGAGAGATGAATGAATTTTGGACTCCCACTTAATTCTAACCCAATCTAAGAACAATGATCTCTTATGACACGGATCTGCTTGATGCTCACCTTCATGAAGAGATCACTGAAGATATGGGTGCTGTAGCAAAGAGTGGTGAGGAAATTAGATGGCCCCTGGCTATCAGAAATAATAGCATCTGGGGTCTTAAAGGTGTGTCAAACAGATTTTGCACATGGAAGCACTAATAACAGAAGACTTAATTTGATACATTAAACACGAATGACAGAGAAGGCTAATGACAGGACCATCATACATGAAGAAAGCAAGAGGCTATTAGGAAGACAAGAAAGAAAGAAAAGATCAAAGTGGATAGCAGAAGACTCTGAAACATGCTCTTAAATGTAGAGTACCTACAGAAATTTATGAAGTACAAGATCTGAAGTGAAAATTTCAAAGCAAGCTTGAGACAATAGATGGAATGCATAGAATCACTGTACCAAAAAGAACTGGTTGACATTCATCCAATCAATTCAAGAGATAGCATATGATCAAGAACCAGTGCTATTGAAGGACAAAACCCCAGCTGCACTAAAGGCAGAAGTGAAAACAAGGCTCTAAGAAGTGATGGAATTCTAATGGAAATGCTTCAGTAAACTGATAAAGCACTGGATGCATTCATTTGTCTATGTCAAAATACTTGGAAGAGAGCTACCAGACCAATCGACCAGGAGAGATCAATATTTGTGCTCATTCCATAGAAAAGTGACTCAACAGAATGTGGAAATTATTGAGCAATATCATTAATATTACAAGTGAAATTTTGCTGAAGATAATTCAAAGATGATTGCATCAATACTTGAACAGGGAGCTGCCAGAAATTCAGGTCAGATTCAAAAGAAGAAATGGCACAAGGGATATCATGCTGATGTCAAATGACTTTTAGCTGAAGGCAGAGAACACTAGGAAGATATTTGCTTGTGTTTTATTGACCATGAAAAAGACATTGTATTTTGTGCATCATTACAGGCTATGGATAATATTGATAAGAATGAATTCAGTGACACTTCTTTGTGCTCATGCGGAACCTGTATATGGACAAAGAGGCAGTTTTCCCACAGAATAATTGGAGACATGCATCAGGATTATTCAATCTGTATATTGAGCAAATAATTTGAGAAGCTGGACTTTATGAATTAAAGCATAGCATCAGGATTGGAGAAATGTTCAACTGAGAACTTGAAGCACATATTGGTGAGGATGAAAGACTATGGCCTATAGTATTGGTTATACCTCAATGTAGAACACACAAGCAAACCTAGAAATATTTACAATTAGACCAATAACCAGCATTATGATAAACAAAGAAACAATTGAAAATCCATTTTACTTGGATTCACATTTAATGTTCAAGGAAGCAGTGTCAAGAAATCACCGAGTCTTCAAAAACCCCAGAAAATAATAAATTCTGGAGAGGATGTGGAGAGAATGGAATGGTTATACATTGCTGGTGGGACTGTAGAATTGTACAACCACTGCAGAAATCAGTATGACACTTCCTTAAACAAACACAAATACAATTACCCTATGATCCTGCGAGTTCTCTATTGTAGATATAAAAGAACACAACACAATAGACATACACATCTATGTTTATTGCAAAAATCTCTATAATAGCAAAAAGATGGAAGCAAACACAAACACTGATTATAAAGGAATGGATACACAAACTCTGGTATATTCATACAATAGTATATTATGCATCTATAAAAAAGAGGAATGAGTCTCCTGAACACCAGAAACCATGGAGAAAACTAGAGAATAGTGTGCTTAGCAAAGTCAGTCAAATTCATAAAGACAAATATTTAATGACACAATTATAAGGAAAAGAAAAAGGAAAGATTTTCTTTTACAAAGAAAATTTTCTTTTACAAAGAAAAAGGAACGTTTTTCACACCAAGTGATATGACTATAATGATTATAAGGAGGCCAGGGACCAGGGGGTGGGGAGACAGTGACAGAGGAGGGACAGAAGATTATGGAGGGAGGGAGGAAGGATGAGAGGAGGGGAAGAAAGTAAACACATTGATGGGAGTCTTAATGAGATGAGATGGGTTGTACAACTATACAGAATGTTTTTCTTTAAACGCCCCTCTCAAAAAAATCACAGGGTGGCCATAACTATTTTATAGTTTATTGGACTCTCCATATTATGAATTTGACAAGTTAAAAATACAAGTTAAACAATTATTTTTTGTTGTTGCTGAAATACAGTAATTTATTAATAGGGTAATATCTATAGGTCCATATTGAAAACCAGTTAATAACATACTATGCATATATAGAATTAAAATAAAGGGAAAGTATAAACAATAATTACATGTGACTGAATTTTCAATCATGTGTGTGTGTGGTATTTATTAATTAATTATTTTTTGGGGGGGCTCGTATAATTCTCATCACAATCCATATATACTTCCATTGTGTCAAGCACATATGCACATTTGTTGCCCTCATCATTCTCAAAACATTTGCCTCCCACTCTAGCCCCTAATATCAGTTGCTCATTTTCCCCCTCCCTCCCTCATGAACCCTTCA